TGCTTTGTGCATTGCAAAATGTTATATAAATATATTTTTCGAACAAAGGGAAAAAAGATGGCTTGATGAAGTGTTGAAATTGTTGAAGTGCTCTGACTAAATCTTTAAAAGAGGAAATTATACGCCTGGACACAGCAGCAGTACCCTGATTATCCAGGGTCAGCTGCTGCAGCTGCGAGCAATTTACCCATGTGATTATCTGGTTTTTATCTCTTTCCATTTAAGGATAAGATAGCTGGATAGCAGCTCGTGCAGTTGAACGAGACAGTTTATGTGTGTAAAGAAATGTGTTCACATCTGCAAACGTTACACAAAAATCTCAGGGTACCTAGCCATCGTTTGCAGAAAGGGAATCTTATGGGCTGTTTTACGGGCTAACAATAGTTGCAATAACTGCCAGCTGTGTGAGCTGATGCACTAAAAGTTGAGAATTTTCTTTCCTGGTCCAGTACGGCTTATAATTAGCACGCAATCTTTTTTGGTGATTTGAGAGCCAGACTGCCTTGATTGGACTCTTGAATCTACCATTTACCAGCTCTGGTCTTCAGCGAGTTACTTAACCGTATCTTAAAAGTGAGAAAAATTATGATCTCTAACTCATAGAGTTATCGAGTGGAATAAATGAGTAAATGAGTAGAGTGATTAGAAGAACAGTGGCTGGCAGAGAACAGGGGCTCTATAAATTTTAACCGTTATTTTGAGCCGATCAGATCAAATACAATAGCTGGCATTTGAGGGCCATAAGACGCTGTGCTAAAAGCTTTGCCAACTACTATCATTAATTCTCACAGCAATTGTATGCAGGAAAGAGTTACCATAGCAACCCTGATATAGAAGGGCCAGCCTGTGGGGCTGGCCCATGCTAAGCATCTGGGAACTTGGCTTTTGGAAGGGTCTCTAAGTTCCTACCTGATAAGGCAGCTTTGCCCGCCTGGGGCACTGAATTCTGCAGTACCCGCCTGCGGAGACTGTGCAAACACTGGGACTTAAGGAAAACACGTGCTTTCCTTCTGACAGTTTGGGATGCTGGTAGTCCTGTCCCTGCTGAAAGGAGGAGCCCGTTCTGGGTGGCTCTGGGAGGGAGAATGGAGGCAGCCCGAGCCTGGATTCTCCAGACCACACCTGATATATCTTTTTCCCTTGTGGGTCCTCCTCTGTGTCCTTTAACTGGAATAAACCTTAGCCATGAGTCCAACTATATGTCGAGTCCTTCTAGTAGATGTAGGTGGTTAAAGGATCTTCCAAGTCAAAACAACAAAATGAAAAACTCTCAAAGGTGTATAATATGACTCTAATTTCATGAAGTCAAAAACCTGAGGAACGGAAGAGTTGAGATGTCGACAGGGTCACTCCGTAGCTGGAGGAGCTGGGGCCTAACCCCTGTCTGTCTCCTCCAAGAACTGTTTGTTCCACTGTTCCAAGCATTCACGCCTGATTACATACATCCAAGCCAAGGAAAACCTCTTTCTAAGGCATAGCATTTAGTAGCTACTGGTTAGCTATATAATCTTGGAAAAATATCTTAAAAGCATTGCCATTCCAAAGCTTTTCTTCACTGTAAAACTATAATGATTATACCAATGTGACAGAATTGCTGTGAGGATTTAATAAGATTATATATATGTGTGTATACACACACACACACACACACACACACACACAATACATGTTATACTATGGGAAGTATGTACATATTAAATACACGATACATTAAAATCTATAAAGTATTTAGCTCAGTGCCTGATACATGGTAAACCTCAATAAATGAAACAGCTATATAAATATGTACATATGTGGTTAACATACTTACATTTGTATATGTACATATATACATATGTGCACATATATCGATAAATAGATATGTGCATACATATACACGCAAATTAATTACTCATCTAACAA